ATGGTTCCGTTCGACCGACGTAGGACTACGCTCTCATAGAATACCAGTGTAAAATTGCAGCTTAATGTTGCTGTGTTTCGTATGGCGAGTGTAGAGAATCGGAGACCCTTTTTACTGAAAATGAGGTATTTCATCTTAGTCCTCAGGGGTAACAACGCATCTGCATTTTGATTCTTAACCGAGGACTTGTGCTCGTTTGTCACCCCCGTTGTATAAAAAGAGTCAGCATTATCAGTGCTGCTGGTGTATAAGTTGGAACACGATTTGGTCGCTTACTCCATCCGGCATTTTTTTAAATAAAATTAAAGTGACTATCGAACTGACAGTGACAGATAGTATTTGGCTACTGTAGCTGCTTGACGGTAGGAATAAGTAACCAAACTACCCAGAGCTCTCAGAAGTTTATTTAATCATGTCTAAAATTCTAAACATAAACAATTTTATCAATATAATCTTTTATTATTATATAAGGTCCTTGAACAAGCTCTCTTAAGGCACAATAGTAGCTACTGCTGTATGGTGGCTGAAATAAAACAGAGGTAGATATCAATTTAGTAAAACTCTCAGGCAGAATACGAGTAAAGAAAATGACATCATTAGGTGAAAAGCTACATTGCGTTAAAGTCGGAAGCAAAAATTTATTATCATCCATTTATCAGTGCGCACCATTCATAACTTGAATTTTAAGTACTCGTTGATAATCAGTAATAAGTGATAAATGCGATTAATAATAATAAAACTTAACTTAACTAACTTACTTTAGTATTGGTTAAGTACAGTCTTTAGATTGAAATACATGTTTATCTTTATGTTCTAAATGGTAATTCGATCTTTTGTATTGGATGGAACTGAGATGACCTTATAAGCCTGGTCGTAGTGTAGTGTTCTCCAGAAAGAATTTTGGCCACGGCGGCCAGTCTCTGCGCAGGACATGTCCGCAAGCACAGGTGCACAATCTATTCCCTCACTCTCACAGTTCCGATGTGACATGAAAGAGATCTGGTAGAAGAGAATTTCTTGATTGAAATACCTATTAACTGATTTTAGCCTGACCAAATTTCAAACCTGCAACCATATGACCAGCAGTTGCACTTACGACCACTAGACCATTGAAACAGCCAGATAGTCGAAGAGTATATAAAAAAGTGAACTAGGTATAACATACGTTCTACTGCACGGGCTTCCTTTTATATTAAGAGGGTAATGAAGCAAGAAGAGCACTCCCGTTACTCTAGTGCTTGTTAGCGAAATTTACGTGTGCTTTGTATCTACTACCTACATTCCTAAGCACTCGCCGTAAATTTTATAGTAGCAACCCGAGTTCGATCCCCGCTAGCAATAATGAAATTGTTAATACCAATTTTAAGTGCCGATAAACCACAGTCTCGGTTGTGAAGGCACTCATTGTAAGGAAACGAATGAATGAAATATACGAAATGTATTGTTATACACCAATAAATATACAATCCTAAACGAATGGACCACTTTTGATGAAAAAGTTATGTTTGAGTGGGTCCCTGGATGGTTTAGCTTCACAATTGAACCCGGTAGATGGTGCTATTGTCGCGATCCAAAAATTACCCGTGGGAAACCGGGGCGGATCGCTAGCAAATTATATTAAGGTACAATCATCGCTTAAAACAATCTCTACTAGATGAACACATTCCAACAAACCTGCTAGTGTAAGAAATAAAGAAATATTTTAGAGGACTTTTTTAAAAACTAATAGCAAGCATTATAGTAGCGCATTGGGCTCTTTCATGCCCTTAAATCCTCTCATCATTCCAGCCAACAACTTTACGTGTTACCTCAAATACTTTCATACTCGTATCACCGCCTAGCTCGTAAAGTTATCCATCATCTTACCACCAGACGCCCCGTTAGTCCTCCGTTCAACACAGAGTACATTATATATAGGGAACCGTTCAGTCTTTGTTTTAGGAATACCACGCATTCAAACCAAACGTTTTGCTTCGTGGTTCGTAACGCGTACAGCAAAGGAGTGGAATAATTAGCCAGTCTCTGTCTTTCCATCCGATTATAATATGGGCAAAGAGTATATAATCTACGTTTTAAATGTTAGTGCTTTAAAGGATTGATTTGTTACCGCTTACGACTGCCATAATATATATTTTAACTATAATCGAACATTTTTTTTAAACTATACTGGCCGAGAAGAAACTGTACGATAAAGAAATACATACTCGTAATAAAAGAAAAAGAAGAAATAAAAAAAGGAAGGTTGCGTTTCAACAATAAAAGGTAAAACATCGTTAAAAAAACGCTGTTTTAGATTTAATATTATCACCATTCCATCGATTTTGAATTTTTTTTTGGAAGAAAATAAATGCAATTTGACTTAGTTAGACTAACAATTTTTATTGATGATCAAGTAGAACGCCATACCCATGATCTAACGCGGCTCTATTTACGCATGTTTATTTTAATTATCTTATCGCAATTAATATCGAAAGGCCATTATAATAATAAAAGCAAGTGTGTGAATCCATATCGTAATGATTAGATTGCTAGTGTAATCTATATTAAGATAATAAACAAAATATAAAAAAAGAAATGAAATTTATTTTTCATATTCATCATCATTAATATACAAGATCTATGCTAATATGGCGTAAATAATAAGGGAAAAGAATTCGCATTTTGAAATAGTCTGGTTCGTTAGTTACATTACAATTGAATAGGCCACTGTGACCTTCGGCAGTTTAGGAAAAATGGTTCAAATTCCGAAAGCAAATTCATAAAGCTATTAAAAGAATTAAATAAAATCATTTATTTCCGAACTAGTCCATATCACACGTCATAAATACACATCGAAATTAAAATATTAAACCAAAGTTAAAATGTCATAAGGGGTAAATTATGATATTTAGAAAAAGTGGAACCAATATCAAATTTTCAAAAAAATAAACTAGCAGTCATTTATAAAAGTGGATGGCATCTGGTCGTAAATTTGTTGATTCCATAATTTTCTAAAACTTTAACCCGACTGGGACTTGAACTCGGGAACAAGTCATTGACAAAAGCTTATATTATTGAATATAATATGTAAAATAATTTTATCGTGTAGGTATTTATGATATATTCGTTTTTATACCGATCAGTTTCAAAGTACGAATTGCCTGAAAAAGGTTCTATTTAATCTGCTCTTAGGTCCGAGTTCGGCGTTTTTCGTTAAAAAAATAATCATCAAAATTATTCAGCAAGTGTAACGAATTAGTAAGCTAAAGTGGCAATGAGCCGGCCATATAGCTCGAAATACCGACACACGATGGGATTCAAAGGTTTTTGAGTGACAGCCATGAAAGAAGAGAGAGAGAGAGAGAATGATTGAAGTGAAACTGGTAATGCTGAACTATTTTGTGGCATTTCTTGGGTAGTCTATGTCACATTTTACCGGTTTAGATAACTTGCATTTTGTCCTGTAGCACAAAAAAAGGTATTGCGATTTGCAAGCCACCTGTCAATCGAGAACGTTTTTTATGAGAGCTTTGTCAAGTAGAAGATCTTTTTTTTATAAATCTGCAGTGACAGGCTTACTCACGGTCTACCAGATAGTAAGTGGCTACTACAGCCCATGGAAACCTGGAGCTAGTTCAAATAAGGTATTCACGGATGCGCTGTGACCTCTGAGGACTAAGATGGAATGTCTCAGTCTGTAATTTTACTGGCTCTCTATGCTGTTTAGACTCAAATACTGCAGTGAAAGCACTTAGGAAAAAATATTATATTTCATCATTTTTAATAACCTATGATCTTAAGTAAAATATCTGACATGAATAGCATACATTTAAGTCAAATACAACCTCACTTACATGCGATTCAAACCTTTGTGTATCATTGACATTAAGTCAAAGTATCAAATGCAATAGGATAAAGAAATTTATTCCTCAGGGAATTTAGTTCCGTGGCCAAGATTTGAGTGAATTCTGATTTAATGTTGGCTTTTGTGTTTTGTGGTCTCGCAGGACTTCAAATGGATATAATGTCGTTTTATTTCCGTTTCTTACGTCGCGAAAAGACAATATCTATATTTGATACAATCTCGTCGTACTGCACTTACACTTAGGGGAGTTCACACAATTTCCTATTTTATAGCAGCCTAGGTAGCATTATAATTAGCCTTTGAACTTTATAAATAGCTAGCGATCCGCACCGGTTTCGCACGGGTATTTCTGGATATCGACAACAGCACCACCTACCGGGTCCAAATTTAAATTTAAACCATCCAACGACCCATTCAATCGCACACAAAAAATCATTGAAATCGTTTCAGCCGTCGTAGTTTTAGCGGGACTAACGACAGTAATTCATTTTTATACATACAGATTACTGTGTAGTGTTACATAAGCTTATGTTTAAAACAATTCATATTAATTACGATTAATAAATTTGTACGTGGTAAAGCCATGCTGCAGCTATATTGGTAGTATAGTTGTAGCACGAATGGGTCGGCTTGGCCGGGGAAGGACCACGCTCTCACAGAATACCAGCGTAAAATAGCAGCTTAACACTGTTGTGTTTCGTATGGTGAGTGTAGAGAACCGGAGACCCCTTTTACTGGAAAAGAGGCATTCCATCTTAATCCTCACGGGTGACAACGTATCTATATTGATTCTTTATTGAGGATAGATGTAGATGTCTATGGGTCGCAGCACAGTCCACCTGATTCGATTGTTCGCTCGATTGTCAACCTATTCTATAAAAAAATCTCGACAACAACACCACCTACCAGGTCCCCATGATTATTGTGTAGTGTTACATGAGCTTCATATTAATATAATGTGTCGCATAATACTGTAAAGTCTTACAAATATTACAATTTAATAGCGTAAAGTAAAATAGAAATTTAACAATCATAGGACAGTAACCCTTAACTTGGCAGAGTGCATCAGTGTATACACTGCTCTTTAAAAAAATATTGTAGGAAAACTAAACGAATTTTGACATAGATTTTCTTGTAATAAGTTAGTTTATGAACTATGATATTTAGTAGGATTTATAGTTTTATTGCTGGTAACACTGAACTGTCAGTAGCCCGCAAGATGGTAGACCGTAAGCAGGCGTCTACGCACAAGCCGGTAAGTATTATGTATTTTGCTACTTTTTTATGCATTTTTGATTATTATTTGAAGTGAAAGTAAATGCAGTAATACTATATTATTCCTGGATGTAGTTTTTTGATACCAAAACTTTATATATTCGATTTTACAACTCAGTTTGTCCATATGTATCTCTAAGTATACACTGCCAGCTACGCAAAAAACTAGTGCTACTTTGACATGTATCTATGAAGATACACTGCCAGTTTATCAGTGAATGTATGTCTATGCAAAAAAAAAGATAATTGTTGATTTTTTATATTCCTAATCAACACATATAAATAAATTTAAAAAAAAAATAATTTGTGTAACACTTGTACAGTAACTATAGTAGATAGATATATATTTTTTTATAATTATGTATGCTTTGGTACAAATGCTCATACTTATTTAAGATAAGCTGTACGATAATAAATGTTTGTTTCCAGATTTCACAACAAAAGCTTCAACAACAACTAAACAGAGCCCGCAGAATTCTAGCCCTAGTTCCAAAATATGAAGCTAGATCAGATGTAGGTAGCAGAGATGATTCAGCTGATGAGTTATATAAGTATATCCCTCCAACTCTTTCAGACAGTAGCTCTCCACCTCCATCTTTGCCATCGTCTTTGTTGGATCTAAACCTATTATCGGATAGCAATAAAGAGATAGATGAAATGACGCACAATTCTCCAGCTTTGCAACTGTACTCATCGCCTGCAAGTGATACTTGCGCTTCGCCATCAATTTTGTCACCAAGGCAATCATCATCAATTTTACTGTTACATGCTGCTGAAATTAGTTTACCAAAGCCAGGGTGTTTCGGGCATTGTATATGACTTTGGTATATAAAGGGGAAGATACATTCCAGTTCACTTTGTTTACCGAAGAAGAAGAAAGCATGGGATTAGGTGCAAAAGTCGTCATAGCTCTAGCCAAATCCATTTGCCAGCCTGCTTGTAAAATCTTGTGCTTTGACAACTTCTTTATCTCAATTGAATTGATGCACCGACTGAGAAATTAATACGGTATTTTTTCTTTGGGAACTGTTAGATTCAACCGACTTCGTGGACCACCGGAGAAACTTCCTACTGATAAAAAAATAAAAAAGAAACTGAGGTTCACATGCTCAGGTTGTGTGTAACAAAAACAAGATTGTTGTTACCAAGTGGTACGACAACAAATGCGTCACTGTTGCAAGCACATACGTAGACTCACATACTCTCCAAACTGTACCACGGTATAACAAAGTACTGAGAAAGAAAATACCAGTACCATGTCCACGAATGAAAAAGGAGTACAACTCCAATATGGGTGGCGTGGATTTAGCGGATATGCTTATTGCGTTATACAGAACAGAATTCAAGGGACATTGCTTGTATCTACCTCTGTTTTCGCAAATCCTTGAAATATGTAATATGTGTAATATATGTAATAAAGCTTGGCTTATGTACCGACGAGGTGCATCAAATAAGTCAAAATTAATGCCATTGAAAGAATTCAGATATGAAATTTACCGAAGCTTACTTTTGTTTGACAGAGGCGTTTCCGCCAATAAACTCAAAAATTATGTACCCCTAATTAAAAACCACCTGCAGAGAGACCCATTGTCGCTGTATGATATGACCAAGTTGGGCATTGGCAAAAATTGCACAAAAGGCCAATTCATTGTCAGAAATGTAAATTAAGACTTTGTTTGGTAGAAGAGCGCAACTGTTTTCATGCATATCATACCAAATAGTATTGTAAAGCAAATAATTTGTATTGTTTGATTATATAACGTGATCTCATAATTATAAAACTGTTTATTTGATAATAAAAATGATAAACAATTGTTGATTAATTACAATTAGAATCTATTTTTGGTTACAATGTAAACATGGCACTGTATCTGTCAGGATACGTACTTTTTATCATGTAAATTGTTACTTACCTGGAAATGTGCACTGCAGGATACGTTCAATAAAAAAATATCTAAAAGCAAAAGATTTTTTTTTTAATATTTTATTCACCTTTTATTTACCTAATTAGACACCCTGATTGAAAGAAAAACAATAAAATAAGGAAAAAAATATCTGCCAAGTAAAGGGTTAATAGAATAGAATAGCTTAGAATAGCAAAACAGCGACAAGTAATAAAAGTTCTAATTTGTTTTGTGTGGTTAATTGTTATTATATGATTGTAAGCTGTTATTTAAAAAAAAAGTCCCGCTGAGTTTCTTCCTGGTTCTTCCCAGGACAGAGGTTTTTTTTGAACCAGTGGTAATTAAACAAAAGAGTGACTTTCAGTAACTATTATTTATAATCTATATTGAATAAAAAAGTTTCCGTTTCTGTTTCTGTTTCTGCCAGCTCGCCTGCGAAGTGACAAGCGGCAACTATAGCAAATATCACCCCTATGAGGCAATCCATTGGGGAGACCTATTCAGCAGTGGACTTTCTGCAGTAACTCTGTAATAATGATAAAGATTATGATAGTTCAAGATGAACTATGAAAATTATATCATTGAAAAATATACTAAGTGTTCAAAAGTGATAAAGGCTTATGATCAAAAATAGGATCAGAAGGATAAGAATCATAATTGGATCGTGTAATAAATGTTTCAACCCACAAAAATTATAAACACTCCCGCCTGTCACCCAGAGGGGTAGGCAGAGACTATGGACTTCCATTTGGCACGATCCTGACACACCTCTCTCGCCCCTTCCACAGCCATATACCTACGCATACACGCTCGTCGGTTAAGGGTTCTCTTTATTTGGCCCACTTTCAATATATCGCCAATTTGGTCGATAAACTTTCGCTTAGGACGTCCCTTGCCGACTCTGCCGTTCACCTCTGCAACATAAATTTGCTTTGTCACTCTTTCTTCATTCATTCTTTCTACCTGACCAAACCAACGAAGCATTCCTTTCTTAATCCTAGTCACAACATTCCTTGCAAACCACACTCTTCTCTTATCACAAAATTTCTTACTCTGTCATTCAGATTCAGCCCTAAGATACTCCTTAAGGACCGCATTTTTACAGCATTTATTCTACTTTCGTCCTTTTTCTGCCACACCCAACTTTCTCTACCATACATTAGAGTAGAGACTAACACAGCATTGTGAATTGCCATACGTGCCTTTTTGGACATATTTTGACTTTCCACAATAAAGTGTAGAGCCCCATTTACTCTATTTCCTGCCACAAAAACTTTTAAAGTTATTAAGATTTGAAGGATAATTATGCATTTTTTGTTGTGGCAGAAGCCTTATGTATATTATGTAATGTATATCATTAAAAAAATTGGGATTACTTGTTACTTTACAGAAATCTTTCATACTTTTAAATAAACTGAAAAAAAATTCCCTTAGAACATTATTTTGGCCAGTTGGTGGGTTGGATCATTTCTGATTAAAAACGTCCATTTCTAGTATATAAAGAAAAAATATTATCTGTGATATTAAAACACGAATTAAAAATTACTGCAGGAACCAGATTCACAATAATTCACTGTCAGTTTTGGATATTAACCGGTCAAAGTTACAAAGATTCAAAAGCGATCACAAAAGTTCACCTTATTTTACAATTGTGCCTTTACAAAATAAGTAAATACATAAATACATACATAAATTTAATGCCTGTCACCCAGAGGGGTACGCGGAGACTACGGGACTTCCATTTAATACAATCCAGACACATCTTTCTCGCTTCTTTTGCATCCATACACCATGTTTCAACGCACACATGCGTGTCGGATAAAGGTACTTTTTAATTTCGCTCTTCTTCAATATATTACCAACTTGATCGAAAAACTTCTATCTAGTGTGTCCCCTGCTGACTTTGCCACTCACTGCAATATAAAATAAATATACTTCGTCATCCATTCCTTTATTCATTCCTAAAATAAGTAAAGAGGTAGCAAAACTTGTCTTCATTATAAAAAATACCAAGCAATTCGATTGTGTAACTCTGGTGGGGATTCTGGTTGGTTTCATTTTGACATTTGATTTTGTTCGGACAATCATTATAACCGGATGACTTTTTTTGTAAAAATATAACCAACACGCGAGCAAACGTTTACGTGGTAGAGACATGTTGAAGGTATATTAGCAGTAGCTATAGTTGTAGCACGAATGGGTCGGCTCGACCGGGGACGGACCACGCTCTCACAGAATACCAACGTAAAATATCAGCATAACGCTGCTGTGTTTCGTATGGTGAGTGTAGAGAACCGGAGATCCTTTTTACTGGAAACGAGGCATTACATCTTAGTCATCAGAGGTGAGAACGCATGTATAGCCTTCTTTGTTTGAAGTTAGCCGCAGGTGTCCATGAAAGTCACTGACCATCAGGTTGAATGTTAGTTCGTTTATCACATATTATAAAAACAACAACCCATGACATAGTTTACACTATACACTGTGCGGCGTAGTACAGTGACAGGATGGTATCTACACAGTCCGAACCTAACGTAGAAAATGATTCTCGTTACCTAAGAACCCGGTTATGAGATAGAAAATGAAAATCTCAATATTACAAGTATTAAATTTCAGCTTTTTGAAGGGAAATCCCCCTATTATTTTTAATCATTTATTCCTTTAAAGGTTTCTAATATTACAAAATTGTAACATTTAACATCAAAATGAACCGGCAGGAGTTTTTGCAAGTGACTTCAAAGTAAATAACATTCACAACAAAATCAGACTCCTTCTCGTTCATAAATAACAATTACGCATTAATCATGTTAGAAGATATATTTTTTATTATTTTGTTGAATCGTTTCTGTTAAAGCTCAAAGTCGCTCAGGGAGCGATGAAAAGAGCTCGGAGTTTCTTTAGTGGATAAAACTTGTAAGGTAGAAATTCATCGGAGAACCAATATCACTAACATAGACTTCCCGTGTTTTTAAACTCTAGTGGCAATGGACTGAAAAAAAAAACTACTTTTATCGCGTTTAATTTAACTTATTCTTAATTCCCGACGTTTCGGGTGCTTTGCAGCACCCATAGACGCAGGATGACTGAGGTATTCGACGCCCCAATGTATATGTTAACTTGGAGTACCCTCAGCTTCTAATTAATACTTGAATTTTAATAGAGTAGGAGGCCGGGTACTAACAGTTGCTTGGAATTCTGTAATTAAGAAATTAAAACTAAGCCCAATGCGTAATTACAGGGGGTTGGTCTGTCGCAGAAGTGACAACCGGTGAAGAAGATGTGCTATGGAGTGGAGACCGCATTTAGGCAAATGTAGTATGGGACGCTCCCTAACTAGATGTAGCGACGATCTACGCAAGGTGGCTTGTTGGAACTGAATTGACTTCGTTTTTTATTATTTTGATTTGTTATCAGGGTAGATGCTTTTGCCCATTTTCTGTTTCAGTTTCTATCTGTATAGATGATATAGGGTAGTGGTTTCTTTTCTGCTGCCACTTCACAGCAATTGCTTGAAAATATCATCAAAAAAAATTGTTTAGAAATTGATGTAACACATTGGAACAAGCCTTAAGAGATAGCACCTCTCAATGGACAAGCGCACGCTTTCATCATCATCATCATCATCATCATAAGACTACTGCTGAATATAGGCCTCCCCGAAGGAGTACGAAAACTCCCAGCCGTGTATGAGGCTGTGACTCGAGATAGTTTCTTCCCCACAGGTTGTTGGTTTTAAGAGCTTTACGGCCGACCCATCGCTACTTCAGTTTGCGGAAATCTATTCATTACTTATATTAACATATTTTCCTTCGGTTCATAATTGAATGGAATCCATTTGGATCGAAGATCGTCTTCAATCTACGTAATTTTATTTTCTTTTTTCATACCTACTTAGTGAATTAACTTTGTTTATCGTCTGTAATCTAATGTATTTCCGCAAAATAAGACCGGATTCTATTAGCTACGGAGTCTTACTATTGCTTAGATTAGTATGCTATTTGTTAATAGGTCCAGATTTTATTTTAGGTACTGTGTGTGACGGGTGATCAATTTTTTAGATTTCATGTTCACTGAACTTCTAAAATTACCTGAAATAACTGCTAAGCTCAAACACAGAGGGGAGGGAGATGCGAGGCAATATCTAATACCTCTCTAAAATAAAAGCAGCCCAAGTTACTTCTTATAACATCAGCTATCTGCCAGTGTGTATGAATATTGACAAATATTGACATTAATATTTATACGATACTAACGTCACTCAATTGTTTTGCCTTCCCGGAACCCCTCCACTAACACTTAAACCGTAGCACTTAAACGTAAGAACCATCTTCGTACTTCAAGGAATATTATAAAAAAAGAATTAGCGAAATCGGTTCAGCTGCTCTCGAGATTTGCGCTTAGCAACACATTCAGCGACTCATTTTATACGAGTATTATAGATTAAACAAAGAAGCAAGTAGCTTTATGTTGCATTTCATTTCTAAAAAACTTTTCTCAATAATTTAAAGCTTCTACTATGGTAGCCACTTTCACTGGTTTGCTTCAACAAAGTGAAGAACTTAAAAAGAAAATAGTTTGTAGAAAGGATTGACGTTGCTGGCGTTTCAGTGGCGTTGTCTATGGCTTGTTTGAGTTGAAGCTCCAATTGTTTTGCGTAGAGATTAATCTCTATGTCAATTGACTGAAGAACTAAAGACTTATCCTCCACTACTTTGTTTCTCGTTTGTTATAAAGATTTTACTTTTTAATGAGTGCAACTTGTAAGGCAGTTTATAGTTTTTGTTTGATTTGCGGCTTCATTACTTTTGAGTTGAGATAAGATATTTGAAATTTAATGATAGTTACTTCAAAGAAATGAAAATAATTGAATTATTTCCATATAATAGCTTCAGAAGTCTGCGCTAAGGCTTAGTGTAAAGAAATATTAAAGCCCCGACTTCAGCTATTATGTAGAAATTATTTTTTTATTTTTATTTTTTTGGAGTAGGCTTTTACTTTTCGTTAAAAGTCTTATTTTTGAGCCTGTTTGAGTGGACTTAGTATGTATATTTCATTATGATATTTCATTGAGTGGGCTTAGTATATTGATTGTGATATTTCACAAGCCTAAATCTTATCTACATTGTTACATTTGAAACTTCATCCCTACTTATTAAACACAAGTTTAAGTAGAATTTTTTCTTCAAATTTATATGGGACCCCTCCTGCAGTATATAAGTACACGTTATTCAATTACTGTCGTGAACTACTTACACAAGCATTTTAAGCTTAACTGGAGTAGATAACGACAATATTTATAATGTATATGCATTGCAATAGCACTGATAGTATTTTTTTTTTAAACTGTTTTAGTCATGACTTTTATAGTCGTTATATTATAATCTATTCATATCAGTCTTTGCTATAAAATTGTATTAGTTTACACATGTCTCGTGTAACATGGAATGCATTACCTTTTCACGCTGTGGAGTTATTGCTTCTAACATGTCGTGAGACGTACACCGTTATGAGTTTGTATTTTATGAAAATTTGTTGATGCGAAAGTGACTGGTTTCAGTTGTTGCTTTTATTGCATTTGATAGATGGTTAAATCGCTGTATTAAATTTATAAAACAACTATTTATTTTAATAAAAGAAGTTTTTATCGGCCCGTAAAATTTCACTGTGGGGCATGGGCCTCACGTGTATAAAGGATTTGCCTTAACCGTTACACTAGGCTGGCGGATTGACGATCACATTAGATATAAGTCAAGTTAGGTACAAGCGGCACGTAAGTCTAGCCCTGAACGAAACGTAGAGGGGACACGTACGAATTGAATTGCACGAAGAGAGCCACGCGCCAAATGCGCGTACGAAATGGCGTAATGACTTATTTTATGTCAACACTACATGGTAAAACATAAGTAATTAAATATTTTTGTATAGTTTAGTAATTAGTACAAAATTTTTTTTGAAGAAACAAGTAGTAAAATTAATAATATTGTACAACCGACTTCAATATAAATAAAATGAGAACATCATAAATGTAGTTGAAATCAATTAAATACGCAATATTAAGTATAGCTCAAAAACTACTGGTCAGATCTTGATCAAACTATATATTATATGGGACCACATGAGAAGCACCAGCTTTCAAATAAGATTAAAAAGAAAAACCTAGAAAACCACCTAGAAAAAAGTTCTGAGGTAACACACGTAAAAAAAACACAGTCGAAGTGAGTACCATTTTACTTGTTTTGAAGTTGGTTAAAAATTATTACTTCCCACAAGTTATAATAGTTTCACAATTTCACTGTTCTCGCAAATAATATACCATGATTGTATCGTAAGGCAAAATTATTTTAAGCGCTTTAATTATTAAATAAATAAGAAATAGTAGTGAAACTGGTACAGATATATAATAAAACTAGCTGTTCCCCGCGACTTCGCCCGCGCGTAATTTATTACGATTGGATTTCATGGATTTTAATTTTTGCGCGGAATTCTAATTCTTTTTCTAAAATAAAAGTAGCCTAAGTTACTTCTTATGTCGTCTGCTATCTGCCGGTGAAAGTCCGGTCAAAATCGATCCAGTTGTTTGGGAGATTAACCGGAACAAACAGACAGACAGACAGACAGAAAGACAGACTAAAATTTTAAAAATCGTGTTTTTGTTATAAGTACCGTATATACTTTCATATGCAAATAGTGAAAAGCTGTTATTGCGACATTACAAACAGACACTTCAATTTTATTTATTTGCTTACATGATGAAATTTCATCAAGTAGCAACGATCGCAAGTACAAAGTAAAAATCAACGTTCAAAAAACCATAAAAACTTTAGCAGTTCTATGGGGTATCGTATCAAAAACCCTTATTTATTGCAATTAATAATATAATATAATTTCCGAAACAGCTGGACCGATTTTGACAGGATTTTCACTGGCAGATAGCTGATGTTACAAGGAGTAACTTAGGATACTTGTATTTTAGAAAAAGATTTAGGGTAACGCGCAAAAAAATGAAAACCCATAAATCCAATCGCAATAAATTCGTAAAAATCGTAATAAAGCTAGTTATATATAAAAAATAAGTAACTGTATATAGAAATTGATTTATATAATATGTCAGGCTGTACAAGTGTAATGAAACTTATACCTAATTGCTATAACCACTTACACAATCAAAGATGAAAAAGTAAATAAAACCAAAAAAAAAAATTATATTCAATAATAAATATTATCAAGTCTGAATAAAATCAAGCTAGTACAACAATGTCTTTATGCTCAGTACATTTAAAGTACGTAACTTCATCCGCATAAAAATCACGTCGATGTAATGAGTTTTCAGAGATGGAGAGAATTCTTAAAATAGTCTGTGTCAATTACTTTTACGCAAACAATGGCTGAAAATAAACAAGAATAAGTAAAATAAACTTATTACCTGTTTAATTTAGATGGAAATAACAAAACACTTTTATGGGAGGTGAACGTAATTTGAATAAGAACAAGTAATATGTTTTGTCTTTTCATAGAATGTTTATTTATTTTAATTAACTTACTCCGTAAGCAAGTCTTAATTGATGTGATTTATTTTTAACTGTCATTTATTTAACGTTTCTGTCTACTCAAAATTTTCCGATATAATTTAAAAAAAAAACAATGAGTTGAACATACTGTAAGATAATTAAGCGTACCTGTTTATAGTTGACACCTGATATTACATATGATTCGATTAAAATAGATAGCAGCTGGCGTAAACTTGGATAGGCATAAGTACATCTCTAATTTAGAATGCTTGGTAATGGTACAAAAGCTCTTTTTATAAAACTTAAGTTACAAATGAACTTACACTGAACCTGATAGTAAGTAGTTTATTTTTATATAAACTACGTGAGGGTAATATGCTATTATGGTCACCTCAAGCTTTGCCCCCTTATAAAACCAAACTTAGGAAGAGGACAAAGAGAAAAACATAAAGTCTTATACTAACAAGCTTTAGCAATAATTAGGAACACTTCGGAAAATCGAGTAAAACAAAAACAGTTAATGACCATGTTTACTATAATATCGACTGTCGAAATAGCGTAGATAAAGCAGCGTCCTTTCGACCTTTTATTATTTGATTGACTGATGAAAAGCTATCGTATCACAGAGCCGAGATGAGAATGAGAATAAATAAAATAATAAAGAATATATATATATATAATAAAATAATAAAATAAATATAATAAGAGAAAATGAGAATGAAACGAGGCTGTAGTTTTTGAGTTATAAGAAAGATATATTAACCGGATGACCATATAACCCTCACGTATGCAAACGAGCATGCGGCTCACCCGATGGTAAGTGACTACCACCGCAAAGGTAAGGGGCCACTGCAGCCAATTTCAAATAAAGAAGGCAAGATGCGTTGTCACTTCTGAGGAATGCCCATGACCTGTATTTACGCTGCGATAAACTTTTCTCTGTTTATTTTCCGTTCTCGCGCCACTCGATAATAAATTTTGACTCTCGAGCTAATGCACACTATAACAATCTGCAGTTAAAGTGTGTTCGCTTGTCATCCTTAATTTTATAGAAATAAAATACCATCAATAGTTTTGCCTCCCGAAAATCAAAGCTCAGGACCAAGAACTATAACTGGATATATTATACGTATATTGTAAATAAATATATAGAATAATAATTAAATATATTATTTGTATTCAAATTAAATATATAAAAGAATAGAATTTTAAAATAGGATACCAATTAATATTCGTGACATTTGTATTTGTTTCGGTAAGAAAAAGTAATTTAGTATTAACTTCTACAGAATCATGATGAGCAAGAAGATATTCGTTGCATTAGCCGCGGTGCTGGCTATTGTTTGTCTGGCTGAAGCTAGGGAGGATGGCCCTCACGACATGGCTGATGCACTTCGCATGCTGCAAGAACTCGACCGCTACTACACCCAAGCTGCTAGACCGAGGTATGTTGAAATGTTGATGAAATCTTTATAATTCATACTCGCAGTAGTGCATTATGTTACATCGGAAAGCTGTTGTGGACAATTTTATTTAATAGCCTTATAATCAAGTAAGCATTACTTTCTTTTATTTTTCACCCTTCGTTCATATTGATTACTGTGTAGTGGCGGTGTAAGAATATCCACTACCCTATATCATCTCGTGGGTATCAAAAGAGGTGACAGAGGGAACAAATCAGCAGCGTCTTCCTAATAATAAGCAACTGTGGCAAATATACCCCCCTCCTATGAGACAATGTACGGCCCGTGTTCAGCAGGTAATAACGGTTCGTGCTGAATGAGATAACACTTACAAATTCACATGTCATGATATGAATTTCAAAAGTTTTAATCTTTTAATCATTAAGATGTTTATAATACGAACCATTTTTATAAAAATGTGACTAACGAACTTACAGCGAATCTTATGGAAATTGACTTCTGCTGCCCATGAACGAACTTAAAACAAAGAATTAAGATGGGATGCCTCACAGCCTGTATTATACGCTCTCTATTACTTCATACCGGAACATAGCTGATCACGCACTGCTGCTTGGTGGCAGTAGGTAATAGGTAAGAAGTTTGTACCTACCCAGACAGAGATCTAGCCAGGCAAGGAATCCTACCTCCACCTTGATACTACAAAAATATTTAACAAGGAGGTATTTTGACGACCTGGTAAGATATGCAGGATTTCGATGGACGCAAGTTGGTCAGGCGTGCTTTGTGGCATTCCTTGAGGGAGGCCTATGTTCAGCAGTGGACTTGTGAAGGGCTGTATTGATGATGATGATGATGATGACGATGAAGGTATTTTGCTGTAAAAGTCAAATATGTAATAATCATAATAAACTAAACAAAGAATAATTGATAAAATATGTTCATCGCTGATACTATGTTCTGTGATGCCGTATACATTAAACGTCTTTGGGGCTTACCTTAATAGCAGTGTAAAGATATATAGAGTTGGAGTTGCGCAGGTATGTTCAATTTAGAAGGTATTTTGTATGGAATATTACGCCGCCATATTTTATTTTTGCAAATTACTTATCTAGTCTACACTTTGATAAATTAGTTTCAGGAGATAAATAAATTACTGTTCTATATTCAATTGGTATATCTACATATTTATAATTATTATATTTTCTATTTGGTAATTAAGTTATCATTTTAATTCTTTAATACATCTAACAAGTGGTATGATTAAAAATTTTGTACAACCGACTTCAATATATATAAAATGAGAACATCATCAATGTAGTCGAAGTCAATTTAATACGCATTATTAAGGATAACTCAAGGACTACTCGTCGGATCTTGATCAAATTTATATGGGACCACATGAGTAGCACCAGCTTTCAAATAAAAAAGAATCATCAACAATATATGATCAGAACATAATCTCATCATGAAGTTTACCAAATGTCCTAAGGAATTATTTTTAAACATTGCGAGCCAGACCTAGAATGTTATCACATGAGCCGAGAATGGTAAACTGTATTTGGCTCAACTTAAATTTTATCACTTGTGCCTTTAAGATTTTTCTTCATTGTAACCGGAAAAAAGGTAGATGCTGGCAATTTATTTCACACCTTTGCTGTACGCATTGCGAACGACAAAGCAAACGTATGGCTCGAATGCGTGCTAAATCGAAAACAAAGGGATGGAAACTGGAGACCCACCGAGCGTCTGGTTTATTTGTAACGATTACCGACAACCTTCATAATATGACAAACGTTGCTGTTCTTTGAACTTTTCTTTTGAATAATTTAATGGAAAATTTTAAATTTAGGTCCTCCATAGAAAAATATATTAATACGAATAATCGTCATTGAATGATTATATCATTACAGCGCTTCACAAGTCCGCTGCTGAACAAAGCCCTTTCCCAAAGAATTCTACAAAGCACGGTAATGAGGTACCTACCTACATGTTTCACTTGGTCGTCACTCCATTTAATTGGGGGCATCCCTACATTCCGCTTACCGATACGAGGCTGCGATTTTAGCACTTACTGATTAATACCACAACTTTCTGATCCGTTGGACACTGGACGAATATTTTGGTTCTACTTTGGCCAAGCGTAGCAACTACGGTGATTTCGTATGTAATGGGATCATTATTATTGTTACGACTTTAATTTAATTTATACTCCCTTTTTCAGGAGTTTTTACGTAATAGAGACATGCTGCAGCTATATTGTGGTTGCAGCACGAATGGGTCGGCTCGTCCGGGGTGGGACCACGCCCTCACAGAATACCAGCTTAAAATAGCAGCTGTGTTTCGTATGGTGAGTGTAGCTGTTTGTAGTGAGCTTATCGAAGCATGCCGACAGCGGATGGGGGCCTAAGCTCCTCGCGCTGTGATTGGTTATTAAGAAATATCTTTTTTAAAGATTTTAAGAATAAATTCTTGTTTTGGGATTTAGCATGTATCTATGTGTATATATGACCACGTAAATGTCTGTGTATATAGTTTGAATTATTTTAGATCAGTGCTGTAATAATTTGTATAATAGCTATTACTTTTAACCTCGTATTAATAGTAAACTTGGCAATATATGTCTTGATAATTACCACTCCGTGATACTAAAAAAGGACAATATGTATAAAGTGCTTACCGCTCAGAGATGAAGGTGAAAAAAAAAATAACAAGTTGCATGTTCTCTACCGCTGTAAATTATTCACAGTGATGTGGTACAGATATAGATGACCTTTGAACTACCTAAATGTAGTTATGTATGAGCTACATTATTGTTAAGTTTCTTTAAAATACATTCGGTAGTTTTTGGGTGGAAGATAACAAACATCCATACATCCATACATCCATACATCCTCACAAACTTTCACGTTTATACTCGTAGGATACCTTTTTTACTAGAAACGAGGCATTGCATCTCAGTCCTCAAGGGGTGACAACGCATCTGCATTTTGATTCCTAATTGAGGATAAATGTAGATGCCTATGGGCCACAGCATCCACTTACCATCAGGTGGACTGTGTGCTTGTTTGTCATCCTTATTCAATTAATCAATATCGATTGGTTAAAAGTCTGATTGCGTTGAAGTGTATAAATATGACACTGTATAAGCCACGCGCAGAAGGCTTGCCTATGATTATCTCTTCCACTTACCCACGTTCTGCACTTGTTTTTTCATCACTACTAACCTTTTGACTCTCTCATGGTCCAGTGGATATATGCACGACTGCTGATCATTAGGTCGCGGGTTTAAATCGGGCTCAAATCAGTTATTGGGTCAAAAAGTTCTTAGTAGGTAGCCCAGAGTTAGGCGCCGTCCTATTGCCATCGCTAGCGCGATGATGCGATGCGATTTCATCGTCCGATGAATCGGTTCGCACGTTTAGAAATCGTGTGTCCTATTTTGGAGCGATGCGATCGCTCTCGAAATGGTTCTTAACAGAGATACACAGTTTTTGCTGTCGAGCACTATTTCTTTAATAGTGAATAACATTAAAAAAATGCATGATTGCGCCTTACGCCTGATTACTCTATGGTCGTGTCGTATTATCGGACTATGAGAGAAAGGAAATGCAAAGTGCACCTTGCTTGCGCACACATCCGTGCACTATAACCCTGCACTGCGCAATGCTACTCTCCGTTGAAAAATTCCGTGACCAAAGTTCGGTCTGTAGGACATTATTATTATTACCGCTTGGAAACCGCAAAAACGCGTGACGTCATGAGTCATGAGTCATGACACTATCGGCGTAAATCTATAAACCTATACATTAGTATCTACGCGCGGATAATACATTAGCATCTACTTCTGATATTGTTGTATAGTCACAAGAACAACGGGAATAGGTAGGTTGGATCGTGTGAGTGAATCTGTGTGTGGCTGTAAACTACTAAATTTATTCCGCGAACGGTTGATAGCTCCCGGTAATTCAAAATTTCACACCGTTGAAAATTGGCCAGTGAATCATTATCAATATGCATTCTACTGCTAGAAGGCTCCTACAGAAATTTAAGGATTTGCCATAAACAGCACTATTGTCTGTCAGGTTAGCAATATCATTATGTCACGATGTCTTATACATAAGACTCTGCTACTATCCTCGGTCTTGATATATGATCATTGGTAATATGTGAGGCAGTTATTTCAGTTTCGTTTGCACCAAAATTTTGTTTTAATGTATCTTATTAAAAAGTAAAAGGAACAACGAAGTTTTTTATATTTTTTAATAGTTTGATAAGTAAACCGACGAAACAAATAGCTCTAGTGGAAAATTGCTCTGTGAGCGTGAATTATAAATTATAATATATAATTTGGTACAACTGGCCATTGAAAAGAGTTAGTGCGTTGGAGGCAGTGTAATATCGCGGTTTAACATCAGAGGGGAGATTGCTATAGTTGATAATGGCGTCTGGATTCTAGCCAATGTTCAAGTATTAGACTATAAGCAAGTATAGCTTTTTCCTATTGGTAGCCATAGTTTTTATACATGGATTTTCTCGTGCAATTATGTGCATTTCTAAACAAATTGATTTAAGTTTATATTTCTGTCTTGTTCGAATTTTGTATAATTAAAATTGTAAAACTGATGCCGTATAATTGTAAAAAAAAAACATCGCGAGGAAACCTATAAACAAGTGTAAAGAATATACATTTTGGAAGACGTGAAGTCCGTTTGTACGCACTGGGACATCGCGATGGACAGATTTCCTCTAAATCCATAATCCTCTAAAAAAAATTGGAGGAAGCCTTTGCCCAGTCGTGGGACGTATAAATGCTGTAAATTAAACTTTTTAAATATTTGCATATTATTATTGTTTGAGAACCGAATACCCTTTTTACTGGAAAAGAGGCGTTCCATCTTAGTCACGGCTGACGACGCATCTGCATTTTGATTCGCAAACGAGAATAGAAGTAGATGTCTATGGGCCACAGCAACCACTTACCATCAGGTGGAGTGTGTGCTCGCTAGTCACCCTTATCCTAT